TATGGTCTTCTGCATCATGTAATCTAAGTAATTCCTGCCACAATGCCATTGTAGGTTTTTGCGAGGGTTGCTCCAGAGCAGAAAGAACTAATCATGACCACTTTCAAGACAGTGAGAAGGATAACTTTAATGTGTGGTGATGGGACCAATGATGTTGGAGCTCTTAAGCAGGTAATTTTTTTTAAGGGTTTTTAGGTTGTACACTCATTTTGGCTTCTCATTTTAGCTCTACGTATCTTTGTTTAAGGCAGGTCTTATTTTGTTTAGAGCATTTAAGTTTTGTAGACTTACTTTGGCATCTCATTTGAGCTTTATGTATCAAGGCTATATAGTTTTATTTGTTTATTGTGCTGCCATTGGTTATCAATCTATGAATAATCCCATAACAAATAAAAAAAAAAAGAAATAAATCTTGCCTAGAAATCAACTTAACTAAGCCTCAAGTAGGTAATGGGATGTGCTGGATGAGCTGTCTAAATACCTCGTAGGATTACATTGGTCAGTCATAATTATTTTTTGGCTACAAGATTGATCTGTCTTTTTTATCTGGTTGGGATGAAATTGAAATTGAAATCCAAGTTGCCAAAAGTCTTTCTGTGTTGTTTGTGGCATGGCTGAGATGCAGAACTACAATGTTTTATTTACCATCCTTTGGTTAAATTATAGAAAACTTTGTGTATACATACAAGGTTTTTTTCCCTCTTTACTTTGTCATATTTTACCATTTGTATCTATTGATTTTATTATAAATTCTTTTCCACTGTTGTTTCGTGATTTTTATGCAAATATGGATTAATTTGTGTCCATATTTTGACTAAATCTAATAATGAATTTAGTTTGTAAGCAAAGCAACATCAATCCAATGGTGTCGTTTGATAGAAATTTTTCTGCTTACAATATTTGGTTTAAAATTAAAAAAAGTGAAATTAGTTGTTCAGAGAAGCTAAGATAGCAGAAATGTATGGACATGTAATACCCTACTTCTTTTCAGGCAGATGTAGGTGTTGCCCTATTGAATGCAGTGCCTCCAACTAAAAGTGAAAGTTCTTCACCAGGGACATCTAAAGATGAAAGCACAAAGTCATTAAAGTTAAAGAAATCGAAGCCTAGTGTAGAAGCAACAGGCAAAGCTGTGAGTCTTAATGCAGAAGCCTCTTCAAAAGGCAAAGTTGCTACAAGATCAGAATCTAGCAACCACACAGCCAGTAACCGGCATCTTAATGCTGCAGAGATGCAGCGGCAGAAGCTGAAGAAGCTAATGGATGAGCTGAATGAGGAGGGTGATGGTCGCTCAGCTCCTATTGTCAAACTGGGAGATGCCTCGATGGCATCCCCATTCACGGCAAAACATGCATCAGTTGCCCCAACCACTGACATCATTCGTCAGGGACGCAGCACTCTCGTGACTACCCTTCAGATGTTCAAGATACTTGGCCTTAACTGCCTGGCTACAGCTTATGTCTTGAGTGTGATGTATTTGGATGGTGTTAAGCTGGGTGATGTCCAGGCTACGATCAGTGGTGTATTTACAGCTGCTTTTTTCCTGTTTATCTCACATGCCCGCCCACTGCCCACCCTTTCAGCGGCACGGCCCCATCCCAATGTTTTCTGCTCCTACGTCTTCCTTTCTCTCATGGGACAGTTTGCAATGCACCTATTTTTCTTGATTTCTTCTGTGAAAGAAGCTGAGAAATACATGCCTGAAGAGTGCATTGAGCCAGACTCGGACTTTCACCCCAATCTAGTGAACACAGTTTCATACATGGTGAGCATGATGATCCAGGTAGCTACATTTGCAGTCAACTACATGGGTCATCCTTTCAACCAGAGCATCCCGGAAAACAAGCCGTTCTTGTATGCTCTTGTGGCTGCTGTTGGTTTCTTTGTGGTTATAACATCCGATCTGTTTAGGGACTTGAATGATTGGTTGAAGTTGGTTCCATTACCCTTGGGATTGAGGGATAAGCTATTGCTGTGGGCTCTACTAATGTTTCTGGGCTGCTATCTGTGGGAGAGACTGTTAAGATGGGCTTTCCCTGGTAAGATCCCAGCCTGGAGGAAGCGGCAACGGGTGGCTGCTGCTACTTCAGAGAAGAAGCAGGTCTAAATGAACGGAGATTGGATTGGTGCAGTTACTCTTGGAATGTGTTTGTTTTGAAAAGCAGATGCTGGTTCTAGGATAGAAGTAAAGCTAGACCGAAGGTAAAGAGATTATTAGCTCTCTCTAGATATGCAACTGTTGCCAGGTTAATCGTAGGGCTTCCTCCCTTGAAATGGGAATTTTTGTCAAACGTTATATTCTCTATACTGAGAAGGTGATTCTTTAGCAACTGTGATTTTTTTTAAGCTCAGGAGACCTGGAAGAATAGTTTAGACACGTAAAAGCAAATCTTACGTTGTGAGCTATACAGACCAGAAATTGATGAGATTTACCACAGAATTGTCGGTTGTTATCCTAGGATTATGATTCCTTCAACTATTCATATGAATGTCTGAAAAACATGTGACCCTGTCAACTGCAGGCAGTTATGGCTACTTCTTCCGAGTATGAATGTTTCAGCCTTTTTTCTTTTGAATCATGTATACATATGGTCAGATAAATATCTCTGTCTAGGATGTGATAGATGAATCGTTATTTGTCCTAGAAACCGTGTCGATGCCTGAGTGATTTCTTTGCCGGGAGACAAATCATGCTTCATGCTGTAATTAATTACTGCTGCTGGGTTGATTGGGAAACATAAAAGAGTAATGGTTATATGATATGGTACAGATCAGAGCAGCAGTGCTTCAAAAGAGTATTGTTCCATCTTATTTTCTTCACTCCCAATCCAACTCTGTTATTAACCCAAAATCAACAAACCCCTCCAACATCCCTGAATATTGTTGCAATTCAACTCTTTACTTGTCCGATACAAATTCATTAGAAGATGTGGATGGATCCAAACCCAAGCATGTTTCTACTTGTATGCTTCGATAACTTGTTCATCATTCACGCTATATGATTGTTGGGCGTCACAGGTCTCTTTCTCTGCTCCAGCCCCACTTTCTTCTTCACAATCGCTCTTAAGGCCCTCCTTCCTCTCCCTCGTCAAAACCTGCCCTCATTGAAATTTTCAATGAACCTAACAAGGCCTAATTTGTTAAAGCAGCCAATATGAATACCTCTGGTATTTCGATATTTTCCATAGTTTATACACAAGGACAAAATTATGATAAAATTGTATAAGTTGAGTTTGTGAGGTTGTCTTTTAAAATTAATTTAAGAAAATTACAATTGAAAATCCCAATCAATGGATAGATATAAATTATTTTAAAATATATCAAGTATTTGAATAACTTTCATTAAAAATTTAATACTTAAATAGACATTTTTTTATTAAAATTTGACTTAATATCTAAATAAGCCTCTAAACTATATAAAAAAAAATCAATTATATCCTTATCCTTTTATTGGATTCAAATAAATTTTTAAATTTTTATTTTGAATCAAACAAGCCATTTTCACTAACTGTTGACTAACGAAAGTTAGTCAACTGTATTATACTACGTCATCTACAATGTGAAATGATATCAATATTAGGTGGCATTAAAGCATGCTAATTAGAAATTAGATTTTCTCCTTCTACCCATCTAAATGTCTAAAAATAGTTAAGGATTTGAAAAAAATTAAAAAAAAAACTAATTGTTTCAAACTAAGTCTTGACTATTCTTAACATAGTGTTTTTAACCAAAATAATAAAAGCAATTGGGTTTGAAAAAAACCCAAACATCAAGGTTTAGAATTTATGAAAGTGAGAAATATGTAGGAGAAGACTTTTTGTTACAAATCTTTTTCATAATCATAAATACCTTTAGAATGAATACATGCTTCAGGTTTGGGAAACTCATCTTCAATTTGTATCTGCTTCTCAACATAACAAATTTTTTAAAGAGGCCTAAATTTTATTTTTATAACTTTGTGTTGGGGATTATAGGAGTACTTTGTTCAAAATTTGAAGTTTCAAATTTGATATCGGAAGAATATTTCTCTTCAATATATGGTATATGCTAATCATTAGTATCAAGCTTCGAATTCTCATTCTCACTGAGTTTCCAATTATGAAGCAATGCCATAATCATCCATAAAGGGGATGGATAGATCAGTAAGAAAAAGGCTTTCTTTTTAAGGGTTGATTTTCTTGCTCTAAACCCTATCCTATCCTGGAACTATAAGTTCTATCGAAAGCTTGGACAGTTTTGGCAAGAACTTAATCTTTTTCCCTAAACCCTATCTTGGAGATTCTAGAGCTACAGGTTCTAGACAGTTATAGCAAGATATCGCCAAATGAGCCTGGACTTTTCATCAATATGATTTTTAATGTTTTTTTTTTTCTACACCAAGAAGAGTTTCGACGTACATTTATTCAGGTAAGAGATTAAAAAGGGTGTTGTAAATTTAGAACGTGTAAAAAGAATAATTTTATTTTGAAAAGAATTGTATTTTTTTAATATAAAAATTAATATAAATTTATATAAATAAAATAAAATGACATGTCAATATATCATATTACGGATGAAGTGGTATAAAATTATTAATTATATTATTAATTAATGAAAGTTAATTAATATTTAGTAAAAAAAATTTATTTAATTTAAAATAAAAATTTATTTAATTTAAAATAAAAATTTAATTTATTTTTTTTATATGATTCAAAGACTTATTTGAATATTTTATCTTAAAATTTGGATAAAACTTTGTCATTTTATAATTATTGATTATGATTTGTGCATTATTTAGTTAATATTACAAAACTTGATATTTATCCCATCCCACGACAAAGACAAGCATCAAACGTGCGCAGACAAAATCGCGCGACTGAACGAGAAAAGCGGGTCGGCGTTGGAACCAACGAGCGGGGCCACTTTCTGCTGCGTAATTGTAAAATCCATTTGCCAGGAAACTCTCTCCTAATTTAAGTTCAAAAGGACGCGTCTTTTTGTAGACTTATATATAGATTTGCTTAGCAGTGAAGGAAACTCAATCAAATTTAAATCACAACGAGCCTTCCCTACTGTTAATTTAAAACTCACCATGTTCGGCTGCGCAAGTCAAACTCGATGTTGCCCGAAAGAAAGAAAGCTAAGGGCAAGAAAGGCGGCGATTGCACTCAAGGGTGTCAAGCGCCGCCTTTTATTCTCCCAAAGGCTTTCTAAACTGCTGCCGATGAACACACGGGTGGGTATATCTTTGAGCTTCGTTCTTGTTCATTTTGTTCTTTGGGTTTGTTCCTGCAGAGCTCTTACATGGTTTTGTTGATTTTGTGTCAGACGGTCAAAATAAACGCAACCATAACTCGGTTGAAGAGGGAGATGAAAGAAATTAGGGAGCAACAGAATAGCATCAGAGAAGGGCAAAGGCAAGTTAAAGAGAGATTCGATGACGTTTTATCTGAATGCGAAAAGTTACGCGACGAGACTCAGCTCATTACGCAGCAGAGTATTTGTACCGGCTTCCGCCTCGCCCTTATGTTTCAAATCCTTAAGGCACGACAGAACAATGACTTCACCAAGGCCGCCCAATTGACTACTTCTCTCCGGTTGGTCTCAGCCCCTCACCCTAATAAACGGTCATTTTCTGATGACTAGTCATTTCTACGTTGAAACCAACACTGTTAGGCTTTCCTAATTAACTAAGGAACGATTGCTACTCTGAAATTTTAACTAAGTCGGAAAAATCTAATGTTCAATTTAAGAGAGAACCATCACCTTCACGCTGGTATAGTTAAAACTAACAGAGACAAACAGGGGATCAGAGAGTGATTCTCCCGAAACAGGGGACGCTCTAACTCAGCATGATTTATTGAAAGTTTAAACTCTCAAATACCAAATCCCTGGCTTGTTCTCAAAAGCTTTAATTCATTTTCTTGAAATATATAACTTAAATTTTTCTTCCCTGTTTCCTGTTTTGTTCCAGTGAACTGATAGCGCAGCAGAAGAACCAAAATAGCGCAGCAGAAGAACCAAAGTTTGCAGCAAGGTGATGGGGCAAAGGGCAAGTGACAAATTGATGGCAACGTTGTCGAATATCAGTAGTTCTAAGTTGTGTGTGCCTCTTTTATGAGTTTTATCTTATGTGGCTTTGCAAGGTTATGCTTCCTCTGTAAGGTGGATTGACTGGATCCTAGAAACCGATGTAAAAAAAGTCAGCTTTAATAAATCTCTTATTCAGTAGAGTTATAGAGATTTCTACTTATTTTCGACATGCTCAAACCATGGGAACGTTAGCTCTTGAGCAAACGATAACTGATTCGCTGCCATTTTTATCGTGCATCACTATTGGAGGAAAGCACAAGCTGTTCCACAAACAGATCCAAGTGCTCCTGTAAAGCGAGGAAAAGACAGATTCTGGTGCTTCAAAAATAGAAGGGAAGTACATCTGTCACGCACCGCGACATCAGCCCAGAGGATGGATGCCTTGAGAACACCAAGGACAGGAGATCAAGGCAACCAGCCGAGCAGATATAGGCTAAAAGGGGGCTATGGATCTGATCAGGAGGGCTGGAGATTGTGCACACTGGGCGCTCAGCTCGCTTGCGCACCAGCTAAACACCACAGCAAACAAGCAGCGTGCCAAGCGCTGCTCCAATGGTTCGCTCGCTATTCCAACGGGTAGAAACAGTCTTCTACGGGCTAGAAGTTTGAAAATGTGGCAGTGGCTCTTCCTAGCTGTTAAAGAGTGGGGGAGGGCTTCATAAGAGGTTCCCTTGGCCTATGCAAGGGCACACTCACCAACTGTTATGGGCATAGGTTTTTTAGGGGCTTTTCTTGTATAAATATTGTATATTTGTGAATACAGTATCTTTTTCCTCACTCCTTTCTTACTTACTTTTCTTTGTACATTTTGTTGGCTAAAGATCGAACTAGATGACAATTCAAATTAGTCTAAGATATGGTATATTATCTTTAAAGATAATTTTTACTTTTTTAAAATATGAAACTTGGTGTAAATAGACTAAAACGATTGCCTCTCAAGATTCAATAAGTTTTTTTAAATTAGTTTACATAAACAATTAAGGATATAAGAACAACAAAAAATAAAAGAGAAGGAACCTGTTAAACAGAGAAAGGGAAAGTAGAGAAACGAAAGTAATGAGAACCGAAGGTTAAGGGTTAAACAGAGAAGAGGAAAGCATACTCTTTTTAATTAGTTTGTGCACATAATCAAAGGTTAGCTAGAGAATAAGGGTTAAACACAAAAGAGGAAAGCAGACTCTTTTTAATTAGTTTGTGCACATAATATAATCAAAGGTTAGCTAGAGAAGAAGAAAGCAAACAAAAGAAAGCAAGGTTACCTAGAGAAGAAGAAAGCAGAGAATAGGAAATAGTGAGACCTTACGGTTAAGGGTTAAATAAAAAGAAGAGGAAAGCGAGTTAAGCAAGGAAGATGAAAGCAGAGAAGAGGAAATATTGAGAGGAAAGTAGAAATGAAGAAAGCAAAGAAGAGAAAGCAATGAGAACCCAAGGTTAAGTGTTAAGTAAAAAAGAAAAAAATAGACTCTTCTTAATTAGTTTGCCCAAACAATCAAGGATATAGGAACAACAAAAAGTAAAAAAGAAAGAACCTAGCAAGGTTAAGCAAAGAAGAGGAAAGCAAAGAAAACGAAAGCACGAAGAGGAAATAGTGAGAGTAAAGTAGAGAAGAGGAAACAGTGAGAAGAAGAAAGTAGAGAAGAAAAAGCAATGAGAACCTATTGTTAAGGGTTAAACAAAGAAGAGGAAAATAGACTCTTTTTAATTAGTTTGCACAAACAATCAAGGATACAATAATTATAAACAAAGAAGAAAAAACCCACCAAGGTTTAGCAGAGAAGAGGAAACAGATAATAAGAAAGTAGATAAAAGAAAATAATGAGAGGAAAGTAGCTAAGAAGAAAGCAGAAAAGAGGAGGTAGTGAGAACCTAGAGTTAAGGGTTAAATAAAAAGAAAAGGAAAGTAGGTTAAGCAAGGAAGAGGAAAATAAAGAAGAGGAAATAGTGAAAGGAAAGTAGAAAAGAAGAAAGCTAAGAAGAGGAAGCAATGAGAACTCAAGGTTAAGGGTTAAACAGATAAGAGGAAAATACACTATTCTTAATTAGTTTACACAAACAATCAGGGATATAAGAAGAACAAAAAATAAAGAAGAAATAACCTAGCAAGGTTAAGTAGAGAAAAAAAAATTAGAGAAGAGGAAACAGTGAAAGGAAAGTAGAGAAGAGGAAACAATGAGAAGGAAAAATAGAACAGAAGAAGCAGTGAGAACCCAAGGTTAGGTTAAGTAGAGAAAAGGAAAGTAGACCTTTTTAATTAATTTGCTTAAAAAATCAAGGATACAGGAGTAATAAAAAATTTTAAAAAAAAGAACCTGGCAAGGTTAAATAGAAAAGAGGAAACTAGAGAAAAAGAAAGCAAATAAGAGGAAAGCATTGAGAACTGAGGTGAGAAAAAGAGACAGTGAGAGGAAATTAAAGAAGAAGAAAGTAGACAAAAGGAAGCAGTGAAAAGAAAAAAACAAAGAAGAGGAAATAATGGGAACTCAGGATTAAGCGTTAATTTGAGAAGAGGAAAGTAGACTCTTCTTAATTAATTTGCACAAACAATTAACGATACAAAACAACAAAAAATAAAGAAAAAAGAACCCAGCAAGGTTAAGCAAAGAAGAAGAAAGTAGAGAACAACAAAACGGAGAAGAGAAAAGGAGTGATAATTGAAGTGAGAAGAGGAAAAAATGAGAGAAACATAAAGAAGAAGAAAGCAGAGAAGAGGAAGTACCGAAAACCCAAGGTTAAGGGTTAAGCAAAGAAAAGGAAAGCAAACTCTTCTTGATTAGTTTGTACAAACAATCAAGGATATAGAATAATAAAAAATTAAAAAAGTACCCATTAAAGTTAAGTAAAGAAGAGGAAAGTAGAAAAGATGAAAGTAGTGAGAAAGTAAACTCTCTCTTATTAGTTTGCATAAATAATAAAAATGCAAGAACATAAAAAAATTAAGAAAGAACCCATCAATGTTAAGGAGAGAAGAGGAAAGTAATGAGAGTTGAGTTATGAGCAAAGAGAGGAAAGTGGACTCTTCTTAATTAGTTTGCACAAAAAATTAAAGATATTGGAACAATAAAAAATAAAGAAGAAAGAACTCACAAGGTTAAGTAAAGAAGAAGAAAGTAGAGAACAAGAAAACAGAGAAAAAGAAAGTAATCAGAACTGAGGTGAAAAAAGGAAATAATGAGAGAAAAGTTGAAATGAAGAAAGCAAAAAAGAGGAAGCAATGAGAAAAAGAAAATAAAGAAGAGGAAATAGTAAGACCCTAGGTTAAAGGCTAAGCAGTGAAAAGAAAAACAGACTCTTGCACAAACCATCAAAGATATAGGAACAACAAAAAATTAAATCAAGGTTAAGCAGAGAAAAGGAAAGTAGAAAAGCACAAACAATCAAGGATACAGAAACAACCAAAAATTAAAAAAGAACCTATTAAGGTTAAGCAGATAAGAGAAAAGAGAAAAAAGGAAAGTAGTGAAAACTAAGATGTGTTAAGGTACAAAAGTATCACTTGTGTGTGTAAGGGGAAAACTTGCATTTTTTCAAGGCTTGATCCTATCTCGTGTGCACGTGAGCTCACTTTGTTTTCTTGCTTACAACAAGTCTATGATGAGTTTGCTTATATCAAGCACTAACATATTTTGTACCTAGGCAATGTAAGATAGAAACCTTATGAGATATCACTGTATATCTAATAATCCCTTACATATTTCACAAAAGTTCGTAATAGGAAGTTTTGTTAGGTCTAATCTCATTTGAGTGTAATGCATTGAGATTGGTGCTTTTTGAGCTACCAAGTCTAGAAAGAATAAAATGTAAGTAATAAAATTTTTGTAAAGTTTCTAATTTATATGAACCATAAATTCTTTATGTGAAATATGATTTTTATCCATTGTTGTCGATTTTATCATGCAAGTGCACAAGTCGTAATAAGTAATATAATAGTAAGTAGAATGTTGAATCTCATAGAGAATTATACCAACTATTACTAAGTACTAAAATTAATATAACTTAATCTTATTCAAACAACTGAATTAAAATGATTAATTAAAAGTCAAACCAAAACTAAATAATAACTAAACTATATCTAAAAGCTGATTGAAAAAACTTTACTAGGAAAATTCAATTAATAAAAAGTCTAGAAATATAATATCTCTTAACATTTCGTCTTAATCTTGTTTTTCTCTTTGAATTTACTTTAATGAATTAAGTTAGTAACCTAGAGTCTCAATTTATTTATAAGCCTCTATCGAAGTTCTTATATTAAAATTACATTAAAAAGCATGCAATTGTGTTAAAGTTATATTTTTCATATACAAAGATAATTCTAGAAATTAACAACATATTCCTAGTAAAGTGTTTGTAAACTAAATAGTACAATGTTATATTATCAAGATTTTAATATGCATTTTTATATGTATACCAATGTTATATTTCTAAACAATTACCTTAACAATCACTTAATATGACACCAAACACAACCTCTGTTTCTTTTTCTTTGATATAGCTAAAATTTTGTTGAGAAAAAAAATATGGTCAAGAGCACAGTCAGGATAAAAGTGACTGACCATGAGCAATAACAATTTTATATATATATATATATATATATATATATATATATATACTCGTTGCTTCCTTAGAATTGATGATCTAGACTGATAGTTTGCACCTTGTATTCTAGTGTAATAACATATAACCCAATCTCTCAATTATTATGTAGTCGAAATATGCCCCATTCACAAATGTGTCTCAACCTATATATATGAAAGTTGCCAAGTCAACGCTTAGATGCTTATTGCATAACTCAACATTTTATCATGTGGACATATAAGTGTACTATGTGTTTTGTAAATGGTTCTTCTAATAAGGAGAGATGAAGTATTGCAACAAGTAAGGTGAGATGCACTAAAGGCAACATGGAAGAAGATTGGAGCAATCCTTGAAGTGTTGAGTCCTTTGTGGTGAAAGGTAAGAGATACATGTTAGGAAAAAGGTAAAAAAATTGTGGTGGTGAGCATGGTGAAGCGAAGAGAGAGTATTTAGAAAAAGCTTTAAGAAGAGAATATGTTAAAGAAGGGAATTTGGTGAAATTCTTATATCTCTTAAATTTTTAAAACTCATATACTCATACACACACACCCCAAGTAAAAATAATTTCTTAAGCGTAA